GGGTGGCCAAAGGTGCGGTCGAAGAAGGTCTTGAGACGTGGCTTGAAGGAGGCAAGGGAGGGAGCAAGGCAAAGAGACTGTGGGGGCAGCGAGGCTGATGGGTGGAGTGGACTGGGCGGCGGACATGGAACAGGCCTGAGCTTGCTGAGTGGAGGGAGCGGACAGGTTGATACGGCGTTAGTAGGTCACAGAGATAGGAAGGAATAAGGCCGTGGAGGGCTTTGAAGGCAAGAATTTTGAACTCTACACTCTAGGGGAATGGGGAACTAGTGGAGCCGGGTGAGGCTGGGGTTAATACAGTCATGGAACGTGACAGGGGAGAGGACACGAGCTGCAGTGTTCTGGATACATAGACAATATTGTTCTCAATTTTTGATTTAGGGAAGAGGCTAAATGAAGTTTTTCAGGTGTTGCTTCCTGCTGCTGTTTAAACAAATGACAATAACCTTTTTTAAAATAGTGGTTGAATATCATCAGATTGCAATGAAATAAACTTGCCATTCCCTGCCTGATACAACAGCACATGAGCACTTCTCAGTCAGTTGTTAAGATGCATGTGAGACAACTGACTGTTTTTATGTTGAATTGTGCTGATCAGCAGCAATTCTGTAACCCAGAATAGATCGAGACAGCCTGTTTGTTATTGTGGCAAGAAAATACCTTCCATAATGTGGAGAATTAATACATTATTGTTAGAATTTAAAACTTTTATGGTCTTATTTTCTTCCCCCACACACAGTTGGCAAGAGAAGTACTGTATACAGATTTGATCCACTGATCATGTGGAAGGACTGCTCTCCTGTTGTGATAAATTCTGAAGTCAGTTTTCAGTCTTCAACACTTTACAGTAATTGGGCAATTAACCTTCTGCATGTGATCACTCAAAAATGCATGAACTAAAGCTGTGATGTACGAAAAAATATTGTAACTGCACATTGCCATACTGCAATATTTATGTTAAATTCTGAAGGTTATAAAATGTAATGCACAGCTTGACTTGATTTGTAAATCATTTGAAAGAGAAATGATTAAGACTACATTCATTAGAAAATCTGTTTGATTTCAGAAGTAATCAATTATTCTGTATTTGTTTCTTAAAGACCATATTTAGGAACTGCCTGGCAAGATGCAGAGTACAAATTGGAACCTCAACTGGGGGAAAAGAATGGTGTGCCTGTGCACTTTACAATGGGGATATTTTGCTTTTTGTAATGGCAAATACAGTGGAATATTTTAAATGGATTGCATCATTTACTTATCATAGAATTGTGCAGCACAGAAGGAGGCCATTTGGCCCATCGTATCTGTGCCGGCTCTTTGAAAAGAGCTATCGAATTCAATCCCTCTCTCCCCATATCCCTGCAAACTTGTCCTCCCCAAATTATCTACTCTCTTAAAAGCTGTTATTGAATCGACTTCCATTACCCTTTCAGGCAGTGCATTCCAGATCCGAACAACTCGCTGTGTTTAAAAAAAAAATTCTCCTTACCTCCCTCTGTTTCTTTAAATTTTAAATTGGTGTCCTTAGGTTACCGACCCACCCGCCAGTGGAAAGTTTCTCCTTGTTCACCCTATCGAATCCTCTCTATTAAGTGCCCTTGTAACCTTCTCTGTGCCATAGAGAATAACTTCTCTAGCCTCTCCTGATAACTGAAGTCCCTCATTCCTGGTACCATCTTGGTAAATCTCCTTTGCATCCCCTCTAATGCCCCTCTAATACTTCCAGAAGTGTGGTACCCAGATCCGGACAGTACTAGTTGAGACCTGATCTTTGTATGTAAAATAAATGGTGCATTATTTTCAGTTTAATACCTGCATGGAGCCCGCTTCCATTACGTAGTGTCAAGCACAACATTTTAAGAATGAGTTTACCATCACTAGTTTCCATTCTTGGTCAGCAATTTTTTTTTGCTCTGGTTAGCTGGAGAAAATGACATTGGAATGTAGCTACGACCTGGTGATGTGGTTAGGATGACCTTATTATAAATGCAACATATGACATGCACACACGTTCCATTCATGACCCAACTAAAAGGGAAATGAAGATAGCAGATGCCCGAGAATGGCATAGAAGTGAAGAGATAGGACAATCATATCTGCACTGAAGAGAACACATCAGGCAACCACAACTTTTTAAGAAGAGTGTAAACCATTGTCAGCTATTCTCTTGTGGACTGCTCTTCTTGTCACTAACTAATGCAATGCTGCTGCTTATTAAATTATGTGGGCAAATTTAAATGAAAACCAGGCTATTTGCAGTGGGGGTGGTTACATAAATGCTCTTCTCTCCCTTAACAACTACTGGTTAGCGTGTTCTATTTCAAATGCAAAACATCTAGATTTCCCATAACTAATATTTCCGTAATCTAATTTCTGATCTGTATGTTGAATATTGTAGACATAGGAAGTCCAGTGTTTTCTACCTGGAATTGAGAGGTCCCTTCAATTTGTGTAAATTGGAGGTGTATTGGTCTGTTGAAAAATATTAAAGAAGATTGAATTTAACTGTTTATTGAAATACCGCATTACAAAATCCCAATTAAAGGGGACATTTTGTATCGTATCTTGCTTGTATTGGGTTTATTACCAGCTTTTTTGTAAAATTCTAGAAATCACAACAACTTGCATTTTTATAACACTCTTCACATGGCAGTATCTTGGATTGCTTAATTATAGCACAAAAAGAGGTCATCTGGTTACTTTCTGCTCCACTAACGGTTGCCATAAGGTGATTCTTTAGTCGCATAATAAATATATACAGGAAAGTCATAACAGGTGAAACATGGCCTAACCTTTCTGGTTTGAGCCTTCATTTTCCCTCTGGCTATCTGAATCTTTTGATGTACGTGGGAATAAATTATAACATTGACTCTTGATTTTTAATAGAAGTATTACTGTATATCTCGTCTGCCACACTGATGCTTGATTGTGCTGAGCTATCTTGCGGTACAGAGGCCAACTCTAGCCGATTTCCCCCCAGCTGGTATTAAGCATCTCAGCAGCCCATGGATTTGATGCACAGTTCTAATTGACCGATTGCTCCACTAGGTGCCTTTACCCCATGAGGCCAGTGGGGAAAATATTTTCTTGACCACTTTGGTGGTGGGAGTCAGCTTGGTGCTGTGGGGATATTTTAGTAAGGAACGTTCTAAGTCTGCAGGTGGGAGTCCTGCACCACATGCCAAATCCCCAGGGCAAGACACCAATTCTTCTGATTTAACTGTGCTGTATCATCCCAATCCTAAGAGGCTGCATTGTATGTCTGTGTTTAATGCTCTTTTCACATTTGTTTTAATACTATCTTTCAAATTAAACTTATACAGTGCTTGTTAACTCATTTTTACAGTTATTGCTGCTGTTATGCTTCCTTGGGCTGACTGTTTTAACAGAAAAAAGTGATAGCAGCCAAATTTCTAATTAAAATCAAACCTGGTGCTTCCATGTTGATGCTTTGGGCATGACTAAATACGAAATGCTTATTCATAGTACAGTACACAACTATCAGCTTGCTTTAATTAGCTTTAAATATAACCGTTCTGTCTGAGCTAATGCATTGGTATAAATTGTGAGAATCTGTTGGATGTTTAACCCCCTTGCAGCTAAAAGTGTTGCGCATTACCTGAAGCAACTGCAGACGGGTATAAACTAATGGCTGTTCTTGGAAGATTCTAGTCATCTTGCTAAATTATGCTGTACCGTCATAATCCTAAGAGATTGCATTGTACGTCTGTGTGTAATGCCTTTTCCTATATATTTTAAAGTTAATTATTTTGGAGGCTAGATTCACACAATCGTTGAGTGGAATGAAGATTTTAAACATATCTTGATTTATGTATCGTAGAACTCAGATGGATAACCTTAAATAGATTGCTATATATATGTGCTATCTGACTGTATACTGATGAATATACTCCTTTGTTGCATTATGGAAGAATCTGTGTATACAGCATAGCAGCATCATTACTTTAACACGTGTAAATGGTGCCTAAGAAAAGAACTGAGATGTGTTGAAAGACTGATAGTAATTCCTCCTGTTTTATTCTATGGTTTTATTTTAAATAAATTTTAAAGCTCCTATATTTTAAAAAGTCAAACATTGTAAGCTGTGTATACAATTCTAAGCATTATCTAATTCAATCACAACATTTCCTTGTATTTTCTTCTGGTGACTCCAGTCCAAGTTGAATCTTGTACGTTTACAGGAATCCTTCATATGTGATGCTGTGTCTGTACAGTGAGTGCATTGTGTGGCAGTTACTTTGGGTCAAGATATTTACACCAAAAACATCTGAGTTGAATTTTGAACATTTGCCATTCTGTTAATTCTATAAAAGGTCTGTGATTTCAAGAAAGACCCTTTGTCGGTTTGGAAAGAAAAGGACAAATAGCTTCTTTCGAGCAATTACTGTTTAAAAAAGGGATAAGGTAACTGGGGTTTACTGGTCAGAAATGTACAAATCATTTTTTTTAAAAAAGAAGCCCTGGAAATCTTCAGCATGCCAATCAGTGATATAAAGATGGCTGAGAATCTTTTTTGTTTGAGATCATAGCATTCATGGATTTTCCCTTTACATCTCACTCATTTTTATTTTGTCCACTTATGTATCCTGAGCTAATTTTGTTTGTAGTTGAATCCTTCCAATTACTTTGCTGAATTGCTTTGCCTCAGATGAGGGATTTTGTGGACTGGAATTGAAGGGGAGCATTCTGCCAGAACGCTTAGACTCTAGTGGGTCAAACCACTTTCATGGCTTCCTATTGGGATTCTGGTTATAGAGACTGCAATATGACTGCTTTCCTGTGTTTTCTCTCCATAGCGCAGAAGGAGAAACTAATGTGGATGAAGAGGTCTGGACTGACCCATCGGGATTTAAGTGTATTTCGTTCAAGTGAAGACTGTAAAAGAAGCTACTCGTACAAGCCAGAGGCAGATGTCGCTTGCCTGTCTGCATAAAAGTTGATGGCGCTGTGCTTCATTTTGATTCCTGATATACTAATTACAAGAAGTATTTTCTAGCAACATCTACAGAATCTGTAAGTTGTTGCTGCGACTAATCACTTTTGTAGCATAGAACATTAATTGAGTATAATCAACATGCTTAGTGTAGTTAAAAATGTGAGAATTGTTTCACAATGTTTCCGCATAGCCAGAAAACTGTATGGACAGACTGAAGAAAACTGCCCCAAGTTCAGCAACAATCAAATGTGTACTAGGCGGGTGATAATCCTATCTGATTTAAATGAAGACTTGTGGACCCAATTCTCTGTGCTGCAAGTACATTGCTTGCTAGCAATATCTGCTCACTGGAAGAAGGTGTACAAATATATTCAACTACAATTGTGTGCGGTATGCTTAATATTTACTTTTCTCGTGTTCAAAATCCCGAATCTGCACCTTAATGGGATTATCAACATTCTGCTGTTATCCCCTTTTATGCATAAATGTTTCATTGTGAGGATGTAATGAATCAAAGAGTTAATAAGGAAACTCTTGAGTTTCAACCCACATAAGTGGAATCACCCTATACATCCATTGAGAACGGGGAGTACTCATCTTGGAATTCAAATAGTATGTAGATGTCAGTAATTGCAGTTGGCGGTTGTTTCAAGAATGTGTTGTGTGTGTATGTGTGAGAGAGAGATTTGGTATCTGAGCACTGTTGACTGTAAGATCTTTAATTGTCTTGAATAGTTGGTGTCTTGAAACATTTTCAGTGCTTCTGAAGAATGGATGCATATTGCCACGAATTCTTTCCTAATGGTGGTTCTACAGAAGTTATGAAATGATTATTCTGTGACTATTCTGCGCTATTCAGAGACTCAGTGAAAGCACTTCCAAAGCTGAATAGTGTCATTTGAAGGGTCTCAAGATGTAATGGGTATAGATTATAAGGTAACCTACACACTCAAACAGCAGCAAGCTGAAATTGTTGAAATGTTAACAGAACCTTGTTCTGCAGTATTTCTTGTGGAACACTGTGTACCTGAGATTTCATTTTAGTGAAAGGATGATGAGGGGAAAAAAGAATACAACCAAATAGTTTAACCTAAAAATGTTGGTTGTAATTTAATGATTGTAGTTTGCAACCATGCAATGTCAACAGCCAGGGACATTCCCCATTGTACTTGTGCACTTAAGGGTGATGATTGTATTTTCTTTGTCAATATCCACCATGCCGATCAATAATTCTGCTTAGTTGATTGCAGAAGAACTAAAGTACCAATAATGTTAATCTGTAATTGTATTGAATTACTCTCCAGTACGATGAAAGTGATGTCTTTTTAATCAGGATAAAAAACAGATGGTACAATTTTAGTCCACAATAGCCTTTCTTGTACAGATGTGAATTGGAAGCACTGCTGTCTGATAGTGTTCTGTTGCACTTAGAAATATTTTACTGAAATGGATCAGTTCAATTGGCAGTTTAGAAGCACCAATATTTTTACTGTAAGGTTATTTTTCTGAAACACGAGGACAAGATGTTCTAATCTCAAGGCTGTTCTAGCAGTAGTTGTGGTATCAGCAGTACCGAAACCTAAGTTTCATCACAAAAGGGATAAAATGGATGATGATGTAGGTCTGAGTTGAATGGGTCACTGGAGGTATGCAAGCTTTCTCAAGAAGGCTGTGACTATATGTTCACAGAATTACGTGGTGATGGTTGGAATCGAGTACAACTAGCAACTGGAGTGGTAGGATGTAGATTCTCTCCCCACCCTTCTCCTAGTATGGGTTCATGATCTCAGCTATGCATTAGAGGTATTGGGCTCTTTATAACTCAAATGGAATAGCCACGGCAATGCTTTTAGATGTGTTATTGCAAATAATGTTTTGTTTATTTTATTATTGTAATGTTTAGTTGACAGCTCCTCAATGCTAGGCATAGAATTTCGTTTGATACACCACACAGGTGTACTCCACTAATTGACCCAGAGAGCACGGTGCGATGTTGCACACGATCTTCCCATGTGATCAATTTCTGTTTGGAAAAAGTCAACACCCACTTAACAGTAATTCCCTATATATGGTAAGCAGCCTGACAAGAGGAGCTAGTCTCTGATAGTTATTATTGAATAGTTAGGAATAAGTTATCACTTCTAACTCCTTTGTCTTTTTGTCCCCCCCAGTTTATAAATGCAACCATTAGCTGCGATCTGACTTCATCCAGTAACGATTGTAACTTGCTTAATGAGGGCAGGCAAGCTAGAATGTCATTAAATCTGGGTTCCCCTGGCATCTAATGACCCATCAGCACAACTACAATACTACCTCCTTTGAGAACTGGCTTAATTTTTATATTTTTTCTACCAGAAGCAGAGATTTCTCTTGTGGTACATACTTCTGCTCTGATAATAGCACATGAGCACTAACTTGCCATCTCACAATTTAAAGCTTCCCTATATTTTAACCAACCATCAGTAAATTTCTTTTCTTTATGTGAATTTGTGGAAGTGTCTGAACTTTCTCTAGTATAACGCTGACTGATGGACAACTGTTTTAAGGTATGAGTTTGATTATGATGCTCCTCACTAATATAGGAACATGAAAAGGCTATTTAGTCCAAAGGAATAACCTTTATTCAGCTCACGTTTACAGATGGAATCTGACCATTTGTTTTCAATGTCTCTCCTACCCTAAAAAAGCTATATACCTGTACTTCTTCCTGAATCGGGAACTGAATTTATTTGATCACTTAGATCTGTTTTGCTATTAACACACGTGGATGGCTCAATTCCTAAACTCTGACTTCCTGCACTACTAATAGTTCCTGCTAAATCTGAAATGCAAATTGTGTATCTTAGTAATGTATTCTCATTGTCTATAGTGTCTAAAATATTTTAGGAAGTCAATTATCCATTTAGAAAGTACTACAATACACAGCTGCATTATTTTGTTTTTAAAAATATAAAGCTTTGCATTTTAACAACTCAACTTAATGGATAGTTTTAAAGTATTCAAAATTCAGTTGGGAGAATGTAGGAAGTGAGGTCTGGATCTGCTTTCAACTAAGTAGCAATGCTGACTTGTACTTGACAAATGAAGGTTTATTTGCCATTGGCAAGATGCACTGTGGTCATTCCATGCAGACAATCTTGCCTGTCCCCAGTGGGATGAGTTGTTAAAGGAAAGTCCTGAGCTGCCAAAGGGTAGGTGGAGCTAATCTTACCTGTGACTTGTGAATTCATTTGATGCACAGCCCTGGGACTGAATTTTGTTGGGGAAAGCTTTGAAATTGGTGGGTTATTAGGCTTCCTCTTTGCAGTAAGGCTCATTTTTTACAATTAAGTGTGCTAGAGGAGCACTTTGAGCATGTTAGTTTATCACTGCAAGGACTTGAGTTATTTCATTCTTTTTCAGTATTAATAAACATCTTGGATTGAGCCTTGCAGTTTGAATGTTGTTGATTGAATATTACCTCAGAAGTGTGTTTGCTCAAATTGGTGTGCTGTAGGAATACCTGATCATCCATATGGATCAATCCCCACGTGAATCATTTTTTCTGGACTTGTGAGTTCCTTTATTTATATTCTTTTACGTACTGGAAAATAACCTTAAATCAAAAGCCTCATACACTGTTCATGTTGTGAAGTGTTGAGTACTGTTACCTGCCACATCATTAAGAACTTCATGTGTTATGAGCGGCAAAGCAGGAACTGAACTGCCAGCTGTGCACTTTATTAATTAAAATGAATTGTTTGGGTAACTTTGCTATCTGTCCCAGAGGAAAAATGGGTTATATTTTATTGTGCATCATAAATGACTAATAGTTATAGAATGCATTATAACTTTACTAACCACTAACAATAGTAACTTTTACTGTATTCTTGGCACTATATTGTGAAGCTGACATCATTCTAAATTCGAAATGAGTTAATTACTTAACCAGAACATTTGGGCTTTTAAAGTTAAAAGCACGTTCTGCATTCAAACAAACCATTGATGCCCATATTTCTCCAAAATAACAATTGTACAAGAATTATTATAGATCCTGTGATGGCCCAGAAGATGAAAGTACTAAACCAATAAAAGTTTCATTCTGAACGGCACTCAGTTACCCGATCTCAGCGAGGCCCAAAGTTGGGTTACAATTGGTCCCATTCCTGATTGCCACCTGGTGGCCTCTACTGTAAAGTACATGCAAGAGAACAGGATCAGTCTTGGTTTTGATGCAAAAGCCAAATACCTTCATTGTCTGGGTGAGGCAGCAGAAGGTTGCTACGAGCCATGCAGTGCCCCTTAACAAGATATGGTGTCTTCATGAGAGGAGGAAGAATTATTTCTTGAATATTGGCATGATCTAGATTAATATTGCAGCAGCGGAAATGGGCACAACAGCCATTAAGCTGCTCACATAGCTGACTGACTGAGAGGCCAAATCAATTTGCATCACCATCAATGCAGTGGTACGAATTAACTTCCAGCCAAAGCCAGGTAGCCAACAAGGTGTAACTCATAGTTTGACACAATTCATGAAAGCAGGTATTTTTCTGAAGTTGTTTCCAGTTTACATTTCTCAATATGTAATAGATAATAGATAACATCTGTTTTATGTTAAATCTGCTTGGTACAGAAGTTTGCCATTAACTTTTTATGTGAAACTTAATATATACAGTAGAAACCCTGGTCGATGCTGCGAATGTGACAATGCCTACATTTGAATGAGATTGCAAAGTATAGTTGTTGAATGTTCATCACCTTGCCCATTACTAATGCTCTTAGATTACATTAGGGACCTGAGTCACTTGACCTGTTTCAGTAATCAGGTCACCTCACTAAGTAGGTCACTTGCCCAGTCATTTGAGTGACTGGATTAGTGAGGTTCCACTATATGTATATATATCTACACATGTTTCCTTGTTAAAATTATGAATGTTCAGGGTTCATCTGTACAGGCCAACTGTAGTACAGGTTTCATCCAAAACTATGTTTTCTGTTCTTGGGAAACTGACCTTTACCGATGCTCTCTCACCACAACAAAACATTACTTATTTAGCCATGTTGTTCACTGCAATAATTCAGAGGTTGAAAGGGT